GACTTCACTAGTCCATGGTCTGTATCTACTCCAGAATTTTTGATATTATTAAGAAGAAAAATTTAGATCTTAGGACATTCAAGTGAAGACTAAACATAGTATCCAATAGTAATCACAGGAAGTATTTAAATGAGTTTTGAAGGGAGAAGGTAGAGACATTAGGACCTCCTCCCTAAGGTGGGTCAAGGCTGGGCTCTGGGGAGTGAGTATATAGCTCAAGGACTGGAACTGCCCTTGCACAGAACAACCAGCTTCCTGGAATCTCTCTGTGCTAAAGCAAGTAGGAGCCTACAGGAGACAGGAATGAGTGACCCACACATGATTCCATGGTGGAATGTGCCTGACTACTTCCACCACCCACTAATTTTTTACATGGAAGAGGACCAGGAAGACGACATATTTGGTAAGTGGCCATCACCTTCACCTTAATTTCCTTCTATCACCAGTCTGCCTTAGGCTTCAACCTTCAAGGCCACCTGTTTACCCACCCCACCCCCAACCAAGTGCTGGTGTGTCACATGTGCTATTACCTCTTCTGTGAACAGGCCCTGAGGACGAATACCTTCGCACCCTGGAGGTCAACAGCCACACTCTCATTCAGCTGGAGAGATGGTTCACAACCTCAGGCCAAACCCGAGTCACTGTGGTGGGACCATTTAAGGCAAGGCTGTGGCTGATGGACATGATCAGCAAAGCTGGGAGTAAGAACACTTCTGATCAGACTAAAGGTAGGCATCGCATCGTTGACAGGATTACAGTGAAGGCCTTGGTGCCTGTTTGTTTTAGGATTTATTTTATTTATGAGTCCTCTATCTGCATGTACAGCTGCCCGCCAGAAGAGGGCATCTGATCCATGAGCCACAAAGTGGTTGTTGGGAATTGAAGTCCGGACTTCTGCAAGAACATCCAGTGCTTTTAAGTACTGAGCCATCTCTCCATCCACCTTGAATACTCTTTAGGAACAGCTGTATAGTACTATACATCCTGAAAGGCTTCTTAGTTAACTAGTAACCTAGATGTTACCCAGAGTGCAATAAAGACCAGAAAGCATAAAGTTATACAGGTTTATGGGATGAAGCCAGTGAGGTGGTGGGAAGGTATGGATTAAGTGGGGGACCTGGGTGGGTTGATTTCATCCCCTGCAATGTCCTCTAGAAAGTCTTGTTCCTCTTACATTCCCTTCTCAGGCAAGGTGATGCTACAGCTGATCCGGAGTCATCCTCTGACACAGCAAGACCTGGAGTTTCGTTCAGAAGCAGGGAGCAGTCTTTGGTTTATCAGAATGAGTTCTGTGGAAGTTCCTCAATACTTGAGGTTTCCTTTGACAGTTGCTTGGTTGTCTTGGGATTTTGTTCGAATTCTTTATTGAGAACTTCACAGATCTCCTTTGGTAACTGGTTTGGGAAAACTGCAGTTTGGGAAAGCAGCCAGTAGGGGAGTTGGAGGAGGTTTCTTCATCAGCCTTTGAAAAAAACATGTGAAAGATGGTTAAGGAAGTTTGAATTGGTCGACCATACTGGCACTCAAGCAGTCAGTGTAAGGTGTAAGATTACACACTTCTAGGTGTAAGATTCTGGCAAAGAGATCTAATAAAATACACTGCTATGACATGCAATGCCTTTGATGTTGGTC